GGGGGCACGCGTGAAAGAAGCTCGGATGAAGAGAGAAGCGGGGGGGGGGTGTCCGAGATCTGCGCTAAAGGGCTCCGCCCCTCGAAGGAGGACCCTGTCCCTGACTTTTCCCCTCGGCCTGCAGTGACCTCGCGATGACGCAATTGTTTGTCGTTATGGCGTCACATTCGGAAAGAGCGCCTTCGAAGGGGCCAAATAGTGAGCTATTTAGCCTGGCTTCTGTCCACAGAAGTCCGGGGTGGACACAGCAAGACCGGCAAAGCCCCTCCATGTTTGCAGTTATATCCAGTAGTACACAGGTCCTGTTGCACGCCCCTCGGCCCCTCGCAGGGTGTGTTGTAAGCTGGAGATTCAATGTGGGAAACAGCAGCCTGGGGCTGGCGCGTTTCTGGCAAAGCCACAGGTGCACTCACGGGTGTGTTGGGCCTCTCGGAACCCACACCTAATCGAAGTTTGCAAAAATCGACATTCAAAAGGGGGAGTCTCGGATATGAATATGAGGGAAAGTGGGAGCCCACGTTTTCACTTGGGGGTGGGCATAGCTTTTGATCAATAACTTAGTACTGAATAAATGCTCTGATACACCTTCCTTTTCACAGAGGGGGAAAAGCATAATCCTCTCTTCACAGAAGACAGCACTCTTAGTAGGAAAAAGAAAAACCTCTTGTCAGCCCCATCAAATGATTCAAGTGTGTGCATACTGAGACTCTATGACTACCAAACGGCATTGTCTTACTACTGGAGTCAGACTGCATGGGTCCCGACTTTGCCAATTATCTGTGTGACCTCTGGCTACTTAAGCCCTCTGTGCCTATTTCCTCATCTGTAAAATGAGATAAACAATACACCGGGAACAGTAGTTAGCATAATGGCTATGTCGCTGAACTCCCACGTAGTCGACCGCAGTTTGAGTCCCAGACCGGGTGGCTTAAACTCATGCCGGGCGCGTGTGCATCCGTGCCCAAGATCCCGAGAGGAGAATGGAGGAGAAGGGATTGTGGCGTGGCCATCCCCCCTGGGGGGTGATTTCTCGCTTTCTGTCTCTCCGTCTCTCTCTGTCTGTCTGGCGAGCGCTTGCGCCCTATAGCAAAAACCTCTCCAAAAAAAAACAAAACAAAATACACCTTCTTCTTGGGTTTTTATGGGGATTAAATGAGTTAATATATTTTAAATGGTTAGGACAGTACAGCACAGAGTAAACACGCAATGTTAGTTATTACTCTTCAAACCACTTTCCAGATTCCAGTGGGTAATCCCGATCTCAATCCCCGAATCTCCCATGACACAAATATTCACATAGTTACAATCTCCTGATCTTCATAAATTAATATCCCGAAGTCAAAGCCCTGCCTTGGGGGCATATTCATAGTGCAGACTGAACTGACATGATGGAAGCCATGTGACTGACCGTGGGTTCAGATTCCCAGTGGTGAATCACACATGGTCTCAGATCTGAGGAGCTGAATGGCTGGAGGAAGGGGATCACAGCCCGACCCTGCCAGTGGTGCTGGTCTCTCTGTCATGCTCATGTGCATGCACATGCATGTGTACACACACACACATTCACACACACTTTTTTTTGAACCCTCATGAGATAAATAAGTACATGTAAAAATGTCAAGAAGATACATAGGGGGAACCAGCAGTTAGCGTAATGGCTATGTCGCTGGACTCCCACGTAGTGGACTGCAGTTCGTGTCCTGGACCCAGTGGCTTAAAACTCACGCCAGGCGTGTGTGCGTGCGTGCCCAAGATCCCGAGAAGAGAATGGAGGAGAAGGGATTGCAGCATGGCCATCCCCCCTGGGAGGTGATTTCTCACTTTCTATCTCTCTGTCTCTGTCTGTCTGGCGAGCGTACGCGCCCTATAGCAAAAGCCTCTACAAAAAAAAAAAAAGAAGATACATAGGAGAAGAGGCATTTATCAGGGCCACAGAAGCTTGAGTCTTGAAATAATTCACCACATGCCTCCTTCCCAACCCATCCTCCATCTTAGTCTCTACTTCAATTCTTCATCCACTCACTTCTTTATTCAAGTTCTAAATCAAGGGCAGGACAGTAGTATTAGGGTGAAGGGAAAATGGCTAGGAAATATTTTGGTTGTGTGGTGTAGTGAAAAAGAATATCTAGGGGCCAGCAAGAGGCATGGTGGTAAAGGTGCTGAACTCCCACATGGCTGACTGCAGTTCAAGTCCCAGGCCCGGCAGCTTGCTTTTTCACTTTCCCTCCCTCTCTTGCTCTCTGTCTCTCTGTGGTAAGCACACATGCTGTATAGCAAATTAAAAAGTAGTAATAATAATAAATAAAATTAAGTAAATAATTATTTTTTAAGATAGAGTATCAAATTTACAGTCAAAAGACCTAGATCCATGGCTTTGTTTCACCTTTTACTGGTCTCTCTGAGCCTGTTTCCTTTTCCGCAGGATAAAGATAAATAATCCTACCCCTTGGGCCTGTTGTGGGAATAATATAGATGAAAGTCTGCTGTAAACTATTAAACATTATAAACATGTTAATTATTATGAAACTAATTGAACATGCACCGTGGTAGTTTTATCTGGTTACGGGTTACCTTCCTCTTCTATAACTCATTCTCCCCACTATTACTTGGACCTTTAAAGGGGGGGACAGCAGGTGGCATGGTAGTTAAGGTGCTGGGCTCCCACATGGCCGACCATGGTTCAAGTCCCGGACTTGAACGCTTGAAAATCACGCTGGCCGCATGTGTGTACATGCTCGAAATCCCAGGAGGAGAACAGAGAAGGGATTGTGTCTTGGCCACCGTTCCCCCTCCCCCGCGGGGGGTGATTTTTCACTTTCCCTTTCACTGTCTCCACAGTCTTTCTCCAGTGAGTGCACATGCCCTATGGCAGAAACCTTAAAAAAAAAAAAAAAAACAGGAGAGAGTCGTAGTGGACAGTTTGCTGAGGAAGGGTAACAACGCAAGGTGTCGTACACAGGCTCAGATGGGGTTGTCGAGAGGATGGCAACTACAAGCATACACTAGATGGAGGACCGTGAGGGTGACAGACCAGGCGTGTATGGATTCCTGTGAGAGGCTGAGGCAACATTCATCAAGAGTTTGGGATTGCACCTGGGATCTGGCCTGCCACACTCTTCCCGGAACCAACGCCTGGCTTAATTAGCCACCTCCCACAGAACGCCCTGGGATGCTTGTGAAGGTATCTCCATTCACCTGGCTGGTGTACTGTGGCAGGGGCTGGGTGGCAGGACTGATGGGCCAACACTAGAGGGGGCGGGAGGTACAGGAGGTAGTGCTGTCTCAGGCTGTGGGTTTGAAACTCACCAGTCAGGAAGTGAGGCCGACAGACGGAAGGGCGGGCAGGGGCGGAGAGTTCTGGGGCACAGCAGAAGGAGTTTTCTGGGGTTTGGGGGCTGAAAGGCCATGGGCTTTGGGGTCGGAGGCTGTTGCTAGGCTGGCAAGACCGGTCTGGGCAACATGCATGCCCAGAGGCAGCTGGCTGTGGCTGCAGTGAGAGCAGAAGTCAGGCGACACGCGGTGGCCAAGCAGGCTCTAAGCCGCCTCAGGAAACTGGCAGAGAGAGTGGGTGACACCGAACTTCGGGACAGCATCCAGGCCTCACTAGACAGCATACAAGGTAAGAAAAGGGTCAGCCCCCCACTCGGGAATGTCAGAGAGCAGCAGGGGCCCAGAAGGGCTAGATGTGTCATTTATCACTTCCCAATCAGCTACTTCCTAGTCCCCAAGATGGAGCAGAGACTCAGACGAATACTTTTAAGAATGGAAAAAAACATAGGAGGTGTCATTCTTCCTCTTTCCTAACTCTGATCCTTCCCCTGGGGGCCCCAAATACAGGTCACTGTGGAACTGACCTCCTTGGCAATAGAGAAGCGGGTGAGCATGGGGAAGACGGGCTGTGAGAGAGACCCTTGGTAGACTTGGTCCCTGTCTCGGGAGTCCAGAGCAGGAAGCAGTCTGGGGCAGGAGGTTCTGGGACTGGATAATGTGTTCATTCCCAGGACCCACTAAGGAGCAGTGACCTTGTGTTCTCCAGCTGTAGAGAGAAACACATGCTGAAATACACCATGCAGAGAATCTCAGGCTCCCAGGCACGCACTCGCACCCACACACATGCTCTGCCTGGCCAGAGTGTAAAGACACCCCCCGGGACGCTTCTTGGTCTCTTCTCCTCTCCATGCTGCTTCTGTCTTCCGTGCACACACACCTTCCGCTCTACCTCCTTAGTGCCATTAGAGCAAGTGATGACAACACAAGGAGGAAGTGCTGCCATGGCAACACCATCCACCACATCCTCCTGCCCACCCCAGCCTTCAGTCCTGTGGTGGGGCCCTGGCAGAAACAGCTTCTCTTCATCCACAAGGCCCTACCACTAAGGACCTAATGGAACCGGTGGTCATTTCTAGCTCATTCTCATCTCATTCACCCCTGAGGTAGCAAAGAGCTAACAAAAGGCAAGAGGAGGCATCTTTGCTCATGAAACGTGTCTGGTAGAGGCACATCCTCCATCAGATGCTGCATTCTTAGCTGCATACCTAGAGCTTTGAGAGTCTGTTCTTTGCATCGAGCCTCTTGCCAGGCTTCTCTCATGGTAGGAGTCGCTGGAGCATTACTCGAGGAAGGAGAGGCTTGGTTTGGTTTGGGTTCCTGATCTCTTTTCTGTGCCTCCCTTTTCCCATTACCCTTCTGAGACTAGTGCCCCTCCAACCTCTTGTCCCTCACCCTTTGCTAGAACTACACCTGACACCTTCCCAGACAGCCTTAGTGGTTGGAAAGGCAGACCTAGGGGGAGTAGCTCATGGGGCCTCCTTCCTAGGAAGAACTCTACCTACCACCTCCTCAAAAACAAACAAACAAACAAAAACAGGAGCTGGAGAGAAGGGTCAGGAAGGAAGCTCTGCTTAGCTCTGGAGAAGAGAGTAAGAAAGGGGAGGTGGAGGCTGAAATCGCTGTGAAAACACTCCTCTTAAGTGATTTGTTCTGCTTCTTTCTAAGGGTCAGGATTCTGTTACCACTGAGCATAAAGGAAAACTGAGGCCACAGAAGGAAGAAAGATTAAGCAAGCCCACAATTCTCCTTCACTCTTGCCTTCCAAAAAGACTACCAAAAGGGCTTGAGTCCTGGGGCTAGTGCCATCCTGGTTTGGCAGGGGAAGAGGAGAAGCTGCTGACCCTGAGAACAGGACCATGGAGGGACCCGGGAAGGGGAAAGGGTCTCTGGGAGAACAAAGGGCTCCTGCATCCTGGTTCAGCCCCCCACCTTCACCCCCCACCAGGCCCAGCCGCTGCTGGCTCCTGCCTCCAAGAGCCGCCCACGGCAGCACTTATTATAGTCTCAGCTGCGTCAGGAGGGTGGGATGCCAAATCAGGGGCCGCTGAGACTCCCCAAATCCGGGGAGGGGTCTTCAAGACTGTGAAGAGGCCTCTCCCCTCCTGTCCCACCCCAGTTCTATAGAGTCTCAGCCTCTGGTAGGAATTGGCCTAACTGCTGCTGCATGCTTTTCACTGGGCTGCAGGACAGGGAGCCTTGAACTTCAAGGCCCCACAAGAGGTGGGGGACACAGAGCAGTCACCTTCCATTCACTCTGCCTACCTCATTTTTAACCTTCTAAAAGAGTGCCACCCTGCAAACTTTAGGAGATTAAATGGGCACCCAAAAGGGGGCAGTTCCTACTGCTTCAACTGAAGGGTCCTTATGTTTGGAGAGAGGAAACCCCCCACATTCAGGATACCAGGGGTGAGGGTTGTGCTTTCACTAGTTCAACATCCCCTGGCGGGGGTCCCCCACCCAGCACACAAACCAGTTTCTCCTCTCCGCTTCTCCCTGCTGTTTCTGAGGCACTCTTGGAGCTGCGGTTGCTATGGAGACTAGATGCGTTTTGGGGGTGTCAATCACAGAGTATTCCTTCTCCCTCTATCTCAAGCTGGAGCCTTTGACTCACCAGGTGGTCTGGCTTCCTGAGCCCTCAGGTCTCTCCCCTCCCAGACACCTCCCCTTTCTTTCTTACCCGGCTAAGTTCTATGTTTGTCCCAATCCCTGGGGAACACTTACCAAGTTCATTTTGGGACAGTTGGGCTCAAGTCTTACCCCATCCAATTATTAATGGAGAGGTGAGGATGGAAGAGGGAGCTAAACCATGAAGAAGGGAACCTTCAGGACCTGGGGGAGACCAGGGATCCTGGGAAAGAAATTTTAGAGCTCCTCACCCACTTGGAGCTTCCCCAGAATGGGCAGCCACCCCAGTTTGCAGGGGTCTTGCCACCCAACAGATCAATTTTCACTCCTTGTCTCTAAATGCCACACCCCACAGACGCGCTCCCTAACCTTGGTGAGCGAGAGGAGGGGGCTAGGTTGTTACAGGAGGCGAGTCCAAGTCTCAGGAAATCCAGCCCAGGATTTGGGAGGAAAATCCAGTCCTGGATTTTGCACCGCCCTCGCAGACAGCGGTGCTGGTGGAGAGAAGGTGGGGGGAGATAGGGTGGGGGGGCTAGGGGCCCCAGCATCCTCCCCGCGCCCCTGCGAATCCCCCGCACGGCCAGCCCCACTAGCTTCCCACCCTCCCAAGACCCCCTCTCCTACCGCATCTGCGACCCCTGTCCCTTGAGTCCCCATTCCCTTCCCCTGCCTCCCTCGCACCGGTTCTTCTCCCCCAGCCTTCAGTCCCTTTTCTGCCCCCGTTTCCTCCCTCTCCCCCATTTGCCCCCACTACTGTCCTCCTCGCTTCTCCCACCCATCTCAGAGCCCCCACCCAGGCCGGGGTGCACGGTCCGGCGCGCCTCCCTGGAGCAGCACCAAGGTCCCGGGGATCCCAGGGGGTGGGGGCGCAGGGCGGGGAGCATGGGGAGGGGGTGCCCCATGTGAGGGGTGGGGGCCCCCGTTTCCTCCCTCTCCCCCATTTGCCCCCACTACTGTCCTCCTCGCTTCTCCCACCCATCTCAGAGCCCCCACCCAGGCCGGGGTGCACGGTCCGGCGCGCCTCCCTGGAGCAGCACCAAGGTCCCGGGGATCCCAGGGGGTGGGGGCGCAGGGCGGGGAGCATGGGGAGGGGGTGCCCCATGTGAGGGGTGGGGGGCGCAAGCGGAGGCGGCGGA